GTGAGCTATTTTGCAGACAAAATCATGATGCTCCACCATGACCTCCAACCCCACTTGAGACAGTAAGGGAACTGGAAGCCCCTTGTCCGTCTTCAGGTCCAGTATTGGACCACTTCAGCCGACTCCCAGGAGGAAGTTGACAGGACCTTGGCAGCTGTGAGACCCACTACCTGCCTCCTTGACCCATGCCTTTCCTGGCTAGTGAAGGGTGGCTGCCTTCACCCAATCAGAATGAGCTCTGTGAGCTCTCCATACTTTCTCAGCTAGCTCACCCTTTTCCCAGCAGTATTGCCTAAAAGCCTGAGATGGCTTGCCGTCCATCACTCATGTGTTTCTAAACCATGCCCTTGACAATGCTCGGCTTCTGGCCACAGGAGGACCATGATGCGGAGCGCCGTCACTTCGGTGTGTGTGTGAGTGCCTTGACCAGCGAGAAGAACTCTGTCCCCGTTGTCATGGAGAAGCTTCTGGAGTACGTGGAGATGCACGGCCTCTACACCGAAGGCATCTACCGAAAGTCGGGCTCAGCCAATCGTATGAGGGAGTTGAAGCAGTCCCTGCAGGCAGGTAAGCATGGAGCTGCCACCTGCAGGGGTCCTTCCTCCGGGATGAATTCCTTCCTGCACCCCACCCCACCGTGCAGATTCCCTAGGCCATGCTGCTAAAATCCTGCCTTTATCTTCCTTCCCAGACCCAGACGCGGTGCGGCTGGAGAATTATGTTTGCCCAGTACAGCGATTTTCTCCGGGCAGTGGGTGAGTGAGTTTTCCGGGATGCAAGGGGTCCTTCACCAACCCCCAGAGGGGTTCCAGACCTAGATGGCGGCACCGGGAGGAACTGCTGTCGCCCTGAATTCAGCACACGGCGGTCCCAAGATTTTCTGTTGCATTGTATTGCTCGGTGGGACATCCGTGCAGTTTGTTCCTTATTTATGTGATGCTGCGGCTTTGGATTAGGCTTGACAAGGTCGTCCTGCCTTTTCCAGGCAGTTAACTGGCCTGCTGCTGACTTCCTCCGTGTAGCTTGAGAGGTGATGCCACTGTGGGCCACCTTGCGTGTGGTTGGTGGACAGAGGGGGATGCTAATTGTCTAGAAAGGCTTCCGTGCATCAGCCCTCAGCCATGGGGGAAATGAGAGGATACAGCCTCCTAGCAGCTGCTGGCCATGCTTGCCCGGATGTGTCCTCACTTCCTTTCCCCACCCGCAGAGCTCCCTGGGAAGCAAGAGCGCCTCTGCGCCGTCTACAGCGTCCTTGAGCAGCTCCCGCAAGCCAACCACGACACCCTGGAGAGGCTCATTTTCCACCTGGTCAAGTAAGAGGGTCTTTCTTGAATCTTCTGCCTTCCACCCATCCTTCTGTGGCGGCCTTCGTAGCCACAGCCCTGTGGGGCCTTTCTTGTAGGAGTGTGAAACGATGCACGCCACTGAATGAAGTTCCAGAGGTAACCCCTGGATCCGGGGGTTCCCAACAGGGTTCTTGTGGGTGCCGTGATGGCCTGCCAACCCCTTTTTCCTGGCACCCACCAGGTGTCTTTAGAAAGTGGTCAGGGAGGGGCAAGTGGCCACTGGAGATCTGATTGGACAGTGCAGATTTTTAGAAACGTTGCTTTGGTGTTAGGTGCCCTGTGTATAGCGCAAGGATCTTCACTGTGCACTGAAGGTCAGCTGCAGCAGCCGTCCTGTGGCTGCACCCGCCACACTGTGTCAGAAGTTCCTAAGGCGCCCGTAGGTTGGGGACCCCCGGTCTGGATCACTAGTATAAAACATCTCATTCAGTCGTCAGTAAAATGGGGGAGGGGGAACCGCTGTGACCCAAAAGCTTCTTTTAAAGCTTCGTGGCTCACTTTGGTGGCCGCGGTGTTTGGGAAGAGGGCCCAGGTGCAATTCAAGGACTCTCAGGTGGTAGGAAAGACCTCTCCTCTCCTCTTCCCGAAGCAGTCCTGGGCTCGAGAGACCAAGAACCGGACTTTGCAGAATGCAGCTCTGGGCGTTCACCTGCCTTGATTTACTGCTGGCCTTGTGCCTCTTCGTAGCTTTTATTTTGGGAGCGGCTTTGGGCAGCCTGGAGTCGGATGCCACAGATCCGTTGAGCTCGCAGCACACTTTCCTTTGGTGCAAGTGGCAGGGATGCACGCCGGAAGCCCTGGTTGTGGAGCGGATCTGTGGGATCGAGCCCATTGCGTCACAGGGAGATAAATGTTTATTATTACACAGTCTGACCAGACAGAGCTGCTTCACTGGTCCAAGAACATCCCTGTGCATCGGGGGGGTGTGTGTGTATTTTTTCCTCAGACGTAGTTTGGGGCGATTGGACCTGTGAGCGAAGTGAGTTGAAGCATGGCTGGGGGTGGGGAGCAATGTTCCCGCTAAGCTGTGGAGCCCTCTGAGCAAAAATTCTACTTTGTGAGCTACTGACATTGAAGTTGTGAGCAGGTGATTTGGCTACTGCATGAATTAGTTTGCTCTGGAGCCGTCCTTCCTGAGCTGCGGCAAAAAATGTGTGAGCTAGAGGCTAAAATACTGTGAGCTAACTCACACTAACTCAGCTTAGAGGGAACACTGGTGGGGAGCAATGTTCCCTCTAAGCTATGGAGTCTTGTGAGCAAAAATTCTACTTTGTGAGCTACCGGCATTAAAGTTGTGAGCAGGTGATTTGGCTACTGCATGAATTAGTTTGCTCTGGAGCCATCCTTCCTGAGCTGCAGCAAAAAATGTGTGAGCTAGAGGCTAAAATACTGTGAGCTAACTCACACTAACTCAGCTTAGAGGGAACACTGGTGGGTAGGATGGGATGGGAGTGGCTCCAGGGAAGAAGCTGCCCCCTAAGCACCGAGAACAGCCAGGACGACCTGGGCCGGGCTTGTCGGGGAGGGTCCGTGGCTTGAAGGCTGAGAGGAAGATGCGGCCGAACAGGGCCTAGTCCTGGGGCCCAAGGAGAGGTCTCGCAGCACCAGCGTTTTCTGGGCTCTCTGGATGCTCACGTCTCTGCTCTGCCCCTTCCTCTACAGGGTGGCCCTGGTGGAAGACATCAACCGCATGTCGCCCAACGCCCTGGCCATCGTCTTCGCCCCTTGCCTCTTGCGCTGCCCGGACGGCTCTGACCCCCTCACAAGCATGAAGGATGTCTCCAAAACGACCACGTGAGTTGGCCCTGGGATCGGGGGGGGGGGCTCGCTTTCGTTCTGCAAGTAAAACAGGATGTGTGGGGGGGAGATTTCAGGGCCCTGCTTTCTGCCCCCTCCCTCTCCCCGGTCTCAGAGAGCTGCTCCCACAATCGGGTGGTCTCCTTGTGTGGCTCCCCCACCCCACCCCAGCTTCCTTCCTGAAGGGTCCTTTGAGTGAGCAGCTTTGGTTCATTC